CCCATCTGAACGCTCGATTCCACAAGCACCCACCCGAGACGAACGTCAGTGGCAGCACAGCACATCCAACCCAGCCATTCCCCATCTAGACGCTCGATTCCACGTGGCACCATCCGATCGTTCACAAATAGAAGTGCTTGTTAGAAAGCGGGTTCCCGAGTGTGGACGCTCATCGATGCGTATTTCCAGCCAGCGATGCGAGATAAAGCAACCACTCGTAGCTCACCGACATCGGGGGATTGCTCCAGACCGCTTTGCCCGTTCCTAGAAACTTCAGGCATGTACACACATGATGCGTGCAGCTCCCCCCGCACCCTTGGGGTCCTCGTCTGAAGCCTCCGGGGCCTCGAAGTTGAGGTCCACGGGAGGTACCGGTGCCTGGATCTCTTTTCTTTTCATCTTTCGACTGTCGGTCCCGGCGAGCCCGCCCTGCCTCGATGATTTCGACTTCGTCGTCATCCCTCGGCCGCTTTTGGCCCGGTGCGGGCCGCAGCTCCACCTGTCCACGAAGCTCTACATCGGAGCATCCTAAACCATAGCATCTATAAAGCCATGGAGGAGCGAATAGCAAGAGGGTGTTGCTGCTGCTTCCAGTTCGAATCCCATCACAAAATCGTCGCTGTTTTGCCACGTTCGATACGCCAAGAAGACCAAAGTCGTAGTAGAACGTGTCCACGCCAAACACGCGGGAGGTATCACTCAACGGACCGAGTTGTTTTTTTCTGACGATGCATGCTTTCAGTTTACCCGTAATGATCGATAGCACGGTCGGTAAGCAGTAAGCAGTAATGATAACGGTGTCAAGAAGAGCATCAGTTTTCAATGCACAGTCGAGTTATGCATTCCTGAACTTCTGGTCAGTACCCGGTACTTGCAATATGTTCCATCGTTTCTGCTTCTTTCCTTACATAGCACATATCTGTCCGAAAAGTTATCTGTCTGGGTATCTATCTCCCTGCTACACGCCTTTTTGGAGTCGCTGTCAACAGCACAGTTGGAGAACCATATCATATCAGTTCAGCCAAGGTAGAACGACATACTGCGGAAGAATTGCTTGCAGATATCAACTGGTCACCTCGATTGAAGAAGAGGAGTCAAAGCTAATTGGTGCGGGTCTTCAACACAAGCACAGCAGATGCTGCAACAGGGGTATGTGCAACCAGGACAGCTCCGAAACTCCTGGAAGAAGATGCGAGTTTTGAGCCAGAACGAACACAGTGCTCTCAGGGCACTCAAAGGGTGAAGACCTCACAGGGTTGCGATTGAAACAGGCCCCGTGTCAGATTGCAATAGACGGCATGCCAGGTCATGATGCTTTTCTTCGTCTTGATTGCCGGGGTTCTTGTGGGACAAGATGAAAAGCCAAGACGCTATGCATCTGGCAAACAGCACCGAGCAATGTCACCACCCTCTGCACCTGTCCAGACCGGGTTTCCCTGGAGGGTCATCTGCTCAGGCGCACCTGGAAGTCGTTGCTCTCGAGCCTTCGGAAGGCATCGAGGCCATCCACGGCATCGCTGCCTTGGAAAGGATCTCTTACCGGAGCCACAGACATCGGCACCTAGACCCCTCTGAGATGCCAGCTCATGGCTCTCGGGCACTCGGACTCACTCTACAAAACGATTTCTTAAGCTGTAAGTCTGTTCGACTGTCACAGGTCGTCAGTCTAAAAGGGACTCCAAGATGCAGTAGGCTGCTCTGCATATGTCTGTGTGTCACCGTCTGACTTGACAATGACTTGCATCATCTAACCGCGGCTTCACTACAAATCAGCTCATATATGAGGCATGAGATATGGCGAAGACAAAGGCAAAACTTGCACTGCACTGTCGCCTCGCGTCCTGCCGCTGGAACGGCACGTGGCCTCGTTCCGTAAGATCTGCATCAAGTGATGGCAACGAAGCTTTACAGGCAAGCCCATCATCATTTGACATACGCGGGCGAAGCTCCGCAAATGCAGCCCTCCAACATCCCTTCCAAGTTTGCTCTTCCTGTCCGCTCGCAGAGTTGAATCTAGTTGATCTCGCATGAAACAATTTGTATTGAGATCGTGCCGAAGCAAAACCATTGCTTGACTTAGCCGATGTTTCTGAATGGCACGTGCCGACACTGGGCTCTGCGCTGACTTTGGCTGGCTGAAGCTGGACCTGACAAGTCTTGCAAGGCATACGAAGTAGTCGCCTCCGCAGGGATGAAGGCGAGAGACGATGCCGTGCTTGCCCGCCTGCTGCAGCTCGCGCCACTGTGCCCCGCTGAGGCGTTGCGGGCCGCGCTACGGCCCCTCGCTGAGGCGTTGCAGGCCTGTTGTCGGAAGGAAGAGGCTTGCCTGAGATCACTTCTGCAACAAGGCTCTCAGGCCTTGTAAGACTGTCTTTATGGCACTATGCTGTCATTCATGAGTGTTGAGTTGCGATTATTGGCTGCCGCCACATGTGAGACCTGATCCTGTGTGTTCTATTGATGTCACTGCAACAACTCACAGAGCACCCGGGAGTCCTCAATCGTTGTGGACTAGGCGACTGCCGCGGCTGCTCATTGCATGTCAGCTGCTGGCTCGAAAGCCTCGGTCTGAGGATCTCATGGAAGTTGCTACACTTATATTACGCTGGCTGTTCCACTCCCCTTCTCCTTTTCCATCACTGTTGATATGAGGACCCGGCATCCGGCTGCCCGTGCTCCTGGACAGCACCGTGGGAAGAGCGTCTGATCTCTCTTTGTGAGACCACCGCTGCCTCTCGTTGGAGGCGGTTTGCGGAAGCCTGAGGTGGGAAGGAAACAAACAGGGAAGGAGGAACTCGGAGAAACTAAACACTCCGCGCCTTGGCTTCACTTCGCGACTCGCGGCCTCTCGAGAGCTAGCTCGAGAGACAGCTCGAGAGCCAGCTCGAGAGCCAGCTCGAGAGCCTGCGGAGACCAGCTTCCCCTCCCTGTTCCCTGCGTTCTCGGATGTCAAAAAGGGCCTCGAATCCTCGCTTCGCTGGAGGAACGTTGCATCTCCTTGGCCTCTTGCAAGGAGCTGCAAAGCTGAACCCTCCCGATTGTTGGCTTACACGCCTGCGGGGCTTTTGCCGAAGCGCGCTTCTGACGGCTTGCCACATGCCTTCATCAGTTTTGACATGACCACTGCAGGAAGACCTGTACAAGGAAACAAAGCTGATGCCGAGCTGCGCGTTGCTAGCAGATGCCTGCACTTCCAAGAGCACGAACGGCATGCTGATGAGTACAAAACTTTGAGTGTTCGTGCAGGCCACTGGAGCTCAATGCGCATCCCAGCCTCGGCGCTGCTCTCGCGCAGCACCTGCGCAGCTGCACGCGCCCTTTGGCTTTGGCTAGGCTGGCGCAGATCCACAGGCTGGCCTCCGGCTCGGGGATGGGATGCGGCAGGAAATCGTTCAAGGTACCTGCTGCGCACACAGATGCCATCAGCAGTGGTGAGGGGCAGGACCGACACGAAACTGCAACAGCGGCACCAATCTCGGGAGAAGCCACCAACCTGGCCACGTCGGAAGCCAAAAGGCCGTTGTTGCCTCCTGGAGGCAACAGAAGATGAGTGGCAGATCAGAGCTTTTGAGTCTGGCCTGGCCTGTGAGCTCCTTTGCTGACGAGCTCCTTCGCAGCTTGTTGGCCATGGTAGCAGACGCAGAGCGCCGCAGGCCCGAGAGCTCCCCGAATTCTTTGGTATCAGGACTGGCTTCCTTGGCCGTCTGCGACCCCCTCCTGCGCAGTGAGAGGCGGGCCGAAACCGGAGGCGCGTTCAGCAAGGCCGAAACACGCCCGGAACTGCCTGAACCACCGGACCCAGCACGACTCGGGGCGCTCCGGGCAGTGTCGCTTCTGCTTGCGTCCTTCTTGTCCGTCTGACTAGTATTCAAATCCTTGACATTATCGTCAGATGCTGTGGCCATGAGGTCATCGGTCGTAGTTCCGACAGCTCTGGTGTTGCAGCCTTTTTCGGGTGCTTGGAAGCTTGCCACAGAGCTTTCACACTCGTACTCCTCTGCAACGACACCGATTGCGCGGTCCTGCATCTCGATAGATGACTGAGCACTCAGAGATGTCGCGTGCATCGCCGCGTCCGAAGCTTCCGCCGGTTCCGCCGGTTCCGCCGGTTCCGAGGACGGGAGGCAGCTCCAGGCGGTTGGCTTTTCACCAAGCGCCACGGAGAGATTCGCCTCGAGCTTCATGAGCTCCGCCATCTTCTCCACGAGTTCATTCCGGGTTGCTTCCAGTTTGGCACGCATCCGGCTGAAGTCCTTCTCGGACACGGCCACGGCCTCCACGGCCTCCTCGTCCTGGGACTCGGAGGCAAGGCCGTTCCTTTCGCTCCCGTCAGGGATGCCGGTCTCGCTGTCATTCTCCGGCTTCTCGTATGAAGGGCTCACGCGCAATCCCTGCGGCTGCGGAGGAGTTGCTGGGGCAGCCCAGGTGGGCAGTGGCTCTGCAGGAACACAAACTGCCTCCACCTTGGCTCGTGTGGCAGCTCCTTCATTTCAGGGCACGACACTTCACAGGGTGGCGCGGTGATCCACACACCTTCTTACAGCTCTACACGTGCACTAACAAATGAGTTGTTTTGCATCGTCTGGCCTTCGGGTTGCACGAACCCATGTCCCTGTCCTGGAGGGGCGGCTGGTGCCGTCAGTGAGGCTTTGCGCACCAGGCAAGGCGCAGAAAACTGACGCTGAACCACCACCACGGGCTCCATCACCACAGGCTCCACGCGACGAGGAACAACAGCGCGCATCACCACTGGGACGAACGAATGGACTCCATGCAGCATCTGGGGCGCCTTACTGGCAAGCCAATCTTTCGGTTGGAGCTTCATTCCTTCTCATCAGTCATGATGTGTGACAATCTTTTTCATAGTTCTCTATTTGGTGTTTAGTGAGTCTAGTGACTCTAGTGTTCTATTGACATCCAGGAACCAAGACACCTGGGGCAATTGCCCGGGCGCCCAAGGAAGTCCGCATGCGGCCCGAACAGAGGTCACCGTCTGCGAGGCTCCTACAAACCGTTCGTCAGACCAGCTAAGGCACCACAGCCACATTTTGTTGGCATTTTCTGACCCATCCCGTGGCCGCGTCCTGAAGTTTGTGCTGCACTCACCTTCATGTCGAGACCGGCATCTCACGTTCGAAAGGAAGCATGGCCGCTCTATCCAAGACTCTGCAGAATGCTTCTATGCAAAATTGGATCTCGGGGGGCAAAGCGTCTTCTACTACCCGGCTGTACGGAGCATCGAAAGATCATGCAGGTGCAGGTATGACTGTGTGCGCGTGCACATTTAACTTGAGCTTCTTGCTCGAGCACAATCGAGCAATTTCGGAGCACGATCGTGACGAGACAATGACCTTCCACAACAGCGATGTTTGCTCACTCTGCTGACCCTGATCTCACATGTTGTCCTTTCTCGTGGCACAAGCATCTCAACCGCAGAGTACGGAACTGCATCCGACTGCAGTGCCAATGTTTTAGATCCGCTTACCGGCCCTTCACCGAGCCGAGGCGTTGGGAGCCTGAGAGAGATTTTTGCAGGATGCAAGCAGACACTGTGATGAGCGTAGCGGCGTAGCACAGCTGCCTGGACCTCGGGGACCAGCCGCGCCGTTCCTGCTATCTCAGAACTGTAAAGAGCTGGAGGTTCAGGATGGCATAAACAAGTTGCAAACTCAGAGTCACTTGTCGGATAAGGTCCGACACCTGCTTTCAACGCTTCCGCAAAGGCGACAGCCCTAGGCAAAGACCTGTACAAGCGTGCATCCCGCTGATTCAAAGAAGCAGGGTACCGCCCTTGTTGGGTTCGGATGCAGACCAACCTTTTCTGCGCTGGTGGCAGTGTCTGCGCCATCGCTGGCTTGCTGCTTTGGAGGGCAAAAAGATGCCTTTCAGCTGCGAGGTCTATGCCAAAAGCGGGTATCTGCAACCTGCCTACGGCTTCTGTACACCCCTTGTGGCCTGCGCGCCGACAAGAGCAACCCTGGACTCGAGCAGCTTGACAAGCACGGGTCCTCAATTCCTCACGATCCCTGCAGAATCCGTCAATGCAGTGGCAGGAAGCATCGGAGGGCGACCAAGACATCCAGGACACCTTCGACGTCAAAAGAGGACTCTGTGTCCTTCTTCAGCTCTGCATCGGGCTGGACCCTGGCCTTGAAAAGTCGCCGTGAGCCAGAGCTTCTTTGACGCTCGAGTCCTTGGCTCCCAAGTCCTCGGTCTTCCAGTACGTTCGGGAAGAAGTCTGCTGGAGGATCTGGGGAGCTCATGGCCGCAGGGGTCTTTCCACTCTCGACTTGAAAACTCTGCGGTGGGAATTGGCTCCACTGGCTGTGCGCGATGGCATGGGAGCGGCCCTGGTGAGATTTTCACACGCGCCCAAGTCTGCTGCTCTCGAAACATGTACAGTGAAACCAAAGTCTCGGCAGCGCGTGCCGATCACCGGCCCAACCCGAAGACAGGCCCCGTCCACCTTCAGCACATTACCAGCAGTTACTAGCACAGCGCTGAGAAGCCGGGACAGAACTTTTCATTCTCATGGCATCCTTTCACACCAGGCCTCGGTACCTCGAGGCAAGCCTTTGCGGAAGCCATACCCTTGCGGTGCTGGGATCTATTCGATGGATTTCGTCAGGTCCGGGCGAGAGTACCTGAGTGCAGAGACGCTTTCTAGTCGCAACTTGCGACACGGGGCCACGGTGGCCTCTCTTCCAAAGTGCCAGCGATGCCCAGCGTCACGCCCTGCAGCCGGGGCCTGGGCTACCAGCGGCTACCAGGCTACCGGCTACAGCAGCACACGGCGGAAGGCCACGTACAATTGGGGTGCACAATGTGCTGCATTGTGCAGTGAACTTCCGCCGCTCGCCAGCAAGCTCGCCGCTAGCGGCTAGTGCGTGTGCACCCATAGATGCTGCAGTGTCGATGAGATTGCAGAAGCTTCACAGCATGCCAAGCATGTGCTCGGCAAAGCTTCTACTCAACCCTACAAAGCCGTGAACGCACGCCCGGCTGATTACTGAGAGGCTGCGACATGTTGGCTCGCTAGCAGTCGAACCCGCTTGAAAGTTCAGCCTGCTCTACACGGAACACTAGGTCCAACATGTTGCAATTCCGTGCCCTGCAAACACGGGACGCAAGAAATCGAGGAGGATAGAAAGCGGGAAGAGAAGTCCACCCGAGATCTCCGACAGCGCAAAGAGTCGAAATGAGTGGCAACTGGCGCCTCTTGGACCCTACTATGAGATCAAAAACCTGAGCATGCTTTGCCGTGCCAGTCAGCCAGTCCGCAGGGCACATTCCAGTGCTTAGCCCGCGGCAGAATAACACATACCTGCAACGTAAGCAGCGAAGTGCACAACATGATCGCGTTGATTATCACGTAGCCGCCCAAATCTCTGCACAGCCAGGGTGCTGCCATCAGAAGGAGGAAGAAGATCCCAGCTACGAAGAGGATGAACAGCGGCTTCAACCCGACCTGGACCCATGCTGCAGGTGGTGGAGAATTTGAAGCTGTGCTTGTCAGTCATTCGCCCAAGGCCGCAGCCCCCGCGTCAGGCTCTGATGTCCTAGAACCAGCCCGTGTTATGCCGATAACAGTGCAGATAGCAGGAGCCACTTGAGCTTCTGGCTGAAGCCCAAGGTCGTTGGAAAACGTGACGTTGCCAGCAGCAGTTGCAACTGTTCAAGGCTACAGACTTGCGTGTGCAGTTCACAGAGACTGACTGGTCAGGCCTTGGTACGGATCACTGGCTTTCTGCTTGGCTGGGATGTCGTCCGGAGCAACTAATCGCCCCGCAAGGGATTCTGGCCGCCTGTTCAGCTGCAAACGACAACAGACGCTGGGCCTCCATCTCCGCGAACGCCTTTGAGAATGTATGGTCGGCTGTCCGGCGATTTCCTGCGTTAGGGGCGACGCAAAGCAAGACTAACATTCGAAGTCTTGGCACCAGCGCTGGTTACTGCTGCTGCTGCTGCTGC